TCGCACATAAGGTTGACTCCTTGGTCCGTGTTTCAAGACGGGTCGCTGATGACCATTACGCCAGCATCCTTGCGGAGCGCGTACCTCAGCCCGCCGAAGGGTATTGTGCAACAGGCTATAACACTCCCCGAGAGGAGCCACGTTCCTGAAGCTTTTGTCCCCGACGGCAAGCTGATGCTGGCCTGTGCCGGCGAAGTGCCCCAGCCGCGAGAGCTGGGTGATTCACCGGACGCAAGTCTGGTCACAAGCGCTTCCCTTTTAACAATTTCACGTGCTGTTTAACCCTCTTTTCAAAGTGCTTTTCATCTTTCGATCACTCTACTTGTGCGCTATCGGTCTCTGGCCAATATTTAGCTTTAGAAGAAATGTACCTCCCATTTAGAGCAGCATTCCCAAACTACTCGACTCGTCGAAGGAGCTTTACAAAGGCTTGGTGTCCAACCGTACGGGGCTCTCACCCTCTATGGCGTCCCGTTCCAGGGAACTCGGAAGGCACCGCGCCAAAAGCATCCTCTGCAAATTACAACTCGGGCCTGGGGCCAGATTTCAAATTTGAGCTGTTGCCGCTTCACTCGCCGTTACTGGGGCAATCCCTGTTGGTTTCTTTTCCTCCGCTTATTGATATGCTTAAGTTCAGCGGGTAGTCCTACCTGATCCGAGGTCAACCTGAAAAAATTTGGGGGTTTAACGGCAAGAGTCCCTCCGGATCCCAGTGCGAGACGTTAGTTACTACGCAAAGGAGGCTCCGGGAGGGTCCGCCACTACCTTTAAGGGCCCACGTCGGCCGTGGGGCCCCAAAACCAAGCGGTGCTTGAGGGTTGAAATGACGCTCGAACAGGCATGCTCGCCAGAATGCTGGCGAGCGCAATGTGCGTTCAAAGATTCGATGATTCACTGAATTCTGCAATTCACATTACTTATCGCATTTCGCTGCGTTCTTCATCGATGCCAGAACCAAGAGATCCGTTGTTAAAAGTTTTAATTATTTGCTTGTGCCACTCAGAAGAGACGTCGTGTAAATAGAGTTTGGTTTCCTCCGGCGGGCGCTCCGCCCCCGTGATGGGGCCGGCGCCGGGAGGGGTCGCCCGCGAGAGGCTTCCCCTGCCCGCCGAAGCAACGGTTAGGTATGTTCACAAAGGGTTGTAGAGCGGTAACTCAGTAATGATCCCTCCGCTGGTTCACCAACGGAGACCTTGTTACGACTTTTACTTCCTCTAAATGACCGAGTTTGGATAACTTTCCGGCCCTGAGTGGTAGTTGCCCACCTCTCTGGGCCAGTCCGAAAGCCTCACTGAGCCATTCAATCGGTAGTAGCGACGGGCGGTGTGTACAAAGGGCAGGGACGTAATCAACGCAAGCTGATGACTTGCGCTTACTAGGGATTCCTCGTTGAAGAGCAATAATTGCAATGCTCTATCCCCAGCACGACGGAGTTTAACAAGATTACCCGGGCCTTCCGGCCAAGGGAGAACTCGCTGGCTCCGTCAGTGTAACGCGCGTGCGGCCCAGAACATCTAAGGGCATCACAGACCTGTTATTGCCTCAAACTTCCATCGGCTTGAGCCGAGAGTCCCTCTAAGAAGCCGGCGTACTGCCAAAGCAATACGGGCTATTTAGCAGGTTAAGGTCTCGTTCGTTATCGCAATTAAGCAGACAAATCACTCCACCAACTAAGAACGGCCATGCACCACCACCCACAAAATCAAGAAAGAGCTCTCAATCTGTCAATCCTCATTGTGTCTGGACCTGGTGAGTTTCCCCGTGTTGAGTCAAATTAAGCCGCAGGCTCCACCCCTGGTGGTGCCCTTCCGTCAATTTCTTTAAGTTTCAGCCTTGCGACCATACTCCCCCTGGAGCCCAAGCACTTTGATTTCTCGTAAGGTGCCGAACGAGTCAAAAAATAACATCGTCCGATCCCTAGTCGGCATAGTTTATGGTTAAGACTACGACGGTATCTGATCGTCTTCGATCCCCTAACTTTCGTTCCTGATAAATGAAAACATCCTTGGCAAATGCTTTCGCAGTAGTTAGTCTTCAATAAATCCAAGAATTTCACCTCTGACAATTGAATACTGATGCCCCCGACTGTCCCTATTAATCATTACGGCGGTCCTAGAAACCAACAAAATAGAACCACACGTCCTATTCTATTATTCCATGCTAATGTATTCGAGCAAAGGCCTGCCTGGAGCACTCTAATTTTTTCAAAGTAAAAGTCCTGTTTCCCCGGCACACCCAGTGAAGGGCATGCGGTTCCACAGAGGGAAAGGCCCGGCCGGACCAGTGCACGCGGTGAGGCGGACCGGCCAGCCAGGCCCAAGGTTCTACTACGAGCTTTTTAACCACAACAACTTTAATATACGCTATTGGAGCTGGAATTACCGCGGCTGCTGGCACCAGACTTGCCCTCCAATTGTTCCTCGTTAAGGGATTTAAATTGTACTCATTCCAATTACAAGACCCAAAAGAGCCCTGTATCAGTATTTATCGTCACTACCTCCCCGTGTCGGGATTGGGTAATTTGCGCGCCTGCTGCCTTCCTTGGATGTAGTAGCCGTTTCTCAGGCTCCTTCTCCGGGGTCGAGCCCTAACCCTCCGTTACCCGTTGTAACCATGCTAGAACACTACTCTAGCATCGAAAGTTGATAGGGAAGAAATTTGAATGAACCATCGCCGGCGCAAGGCCATGCGATTCGAGAAGTTATTATGAATCACCAGTGAGCCCCGAAGGGCATTGGTTTTTAATCTAATAAATACACCCCTTCCGAAGTCGGGGTTTTTAGCATGTATTAGCTCTAGAATTACCACGGTTATCCAAGTAGTAAGGAACTATCAAATAAACGATAACTTATATAATGAGCCATTCGCAGTTTCACTATGTAATTGTTTACACTTAGACATGCATGGCTTAATCTTTGAGACAAGCATATGACTACTGGCAGAATCAACCAGGTAACTATCGTGAGCCCGTGAGGGCCATCGGCGCCGCGAGCGGCGGCCGAAGAGATTGTGTTACAGGTCGAGCGGGCCACCGTCCCTGGGGACGGCGCCCGCACCGCGGAGGCGGCCTGTCGGCTGGGCCGACCGGCGCCCCCGTGGCTTCCGGCTTCCCACCCCTCGTTCCCCAGAGCCCCTTTCGCCGCGCCAGGCGTGGCTAGGGGGCCCCGAGAGGAGAGACTGGCCCCGCCGCTTCAGCTATTCAGCGTCCGCGGCGGGCGTCTTTCTCCCGATGCTCAGTAAAAGGGTAGCCAGCGGCCATCCGTCTACAGAGCCCATCCTTGGGGACTCGGGCGCCGCAGCACCCCAATCCCGCCGGGAAACACAGGTCTGGCGGTCCGCCGTAGCGGCCGCCGCGCCTGTGGGCGATCGCAGCTATGATCCTCCGCCGGCCGAGACGTAATTGCCTGCAGGGCCGGTTGGGCGGTCACGACGCTGTAATCTGTAAGATACGGGACGTTCGATTGCTGCGCTGCTTTTCTACAGCGCATTCGCCACCACCATTGCGTGCTGAGGCGGAGTAGTCGCGCTGTGCTGCCCGTAGGCCGCACTCGCTCTCTTCTCATAGGCCCTGCGACGCTTTTTGGGGGTCAACTCCGCTGCACTGCGTTTTCCGCCGAAAAAGCATTTCCCGAAAAAAGGATTTGTATGGGAAAACAAAAAAATCGACTCACGCCCGCCCGCGCGAAATGTGGGTCCGCGCGCAGCCCCGCGGTATGCCCGGCGCCTGCCCACCACCCTGCCGTCGCCGCCTGGCCGCTGCGACCTCGCTGGCGCCGCTCAGCCCGCCGCGAATATGTTCTAGGGTACCTGGCGACGCACTTTGCGGTGTTGGCCGCGCACGCCCAGGCGACTTTCGCGCCGTGCAAGATCCCTTCTTCTAGGGCACCTGGCAGCATCGGCTCCAGGGTACCTTGGCGGAACGAACCGACTCTAGGGTACCTGGGGCGGTCTGGGGGGGTTGCGGCGCCTGCTGTGGGGTACCTGTCCCGCTCTTCTAGGGTACCTGGGGCGCACTACCTGCTCTAGGGTACTTAGGGCGTACTATCTCTTCTAGGGTACCTGGCAATATGCTCGTAGCTAGAGGGTACTTAATACGCCGTTTTTAGGTACATAGCCTTAAAAATATAATATAATATTCCTTTTTTATATATGTATTATTAAAACCCTCACGTTATTGTATACCTTTAAAGCGTTTATGAGAGTAAAGAAATAATAAAATACGGTCTTTATATTAAAATGTTTGTATCCTTATATTTCTTCGTCATACATCCTCTTTTCTCTTAACGTGAGGACGGAATAGTACTATTCCTACGCATTTCCTCTTCAGATTACAAAAGTAAATACTTCCTTTTCTTAAAACCGGGGTTTTTTTTATTGCCTACTGTATTATCATGTAAAAGAAAATAGCTCTAACTATGTAAGATTTATATAAAAACCTCCTTATCTAATCAAATATCCTTCACACAGGTTAATATTAGAATGAATCGCTTTTAGTACCCTAGAGGAAGAGACAGATGTATTCTCCTCGTAAAAAAACCGAGGTAAAACCGATTTACTATTCTATACTAAGTATATTTCACTATTTTTATTTCCCGATTAATATACAATGCTTTAGTTTGTATTTATTTCAGGGCAGTCCGAGCTAAACCCCCCGTTTTAGGGTCTTTACTAGTCTATTACAAGGTATGAAGTATCGTCGTACCTTTTGCTCTAGGGCACTTGGGGTGCTCTTCTAGGGTACCTGGGACGCACTTTCCGCTCTAGGGTACCTGACGACGTGCTTTCTCCTTGATACTTATAGCGCCCTTGGAGGGTACCTGGCGACGCCCTTTGTGCTCTAGGGTACTTGGCGCCATATCTTTCGTTCTAGGGTACCTAAAGTTCTCTTGGGCCACTTGGCGCTACACTTCGTCCTCTAGGGTACTACTAGGCGCCGCACCTCTCGCTGTAGAGCCCTTCTTCAGCTACCAAGCCACGCGCTCCCTCTTCTAGGGTACCTA